AAAGATGGATTCTTGACTGCAAAGTAATGTCAGTGAGATTTCTTTCTTAGTACTTTGTCACTGTTTCTTTTCTTCTGTAAGATTGTGATACCCATTTCAAATGTCTACCCTCGTCTAAATATTTAGGGGCCTGCATTGTTACTTACAAGTTGTCTGCAATTGCCAGGTCACTGTTTCTATTTATCTATAATAGCATATTGCTCATTAAAGGACAAGATTTATTGCTATACTTCCCTCCAAACTGCCTCAGTTCTAAAACAGAAATCACTGTGGCAATTTTTCTATATTTTCTATATTTATATTTTAGATAAATAGTAGCATCTTTCTAATGGAATTTAATAATCTACTCGAAGTGGAAGTACTTGGAAATATTTTCATGGTAAGGAAACCATGCACTTAAAGCATCATAAACAGGCAGTTCTTTCAGTAGTTTTGAACAAGACTGTGGACTGTATGTGATAGACAGGAAAACCAGATGTGGCACCAGCTTTGTAAGAATTAGAAGACTATACTGTTCCTATATACAGTTCTATGAGGAAGACATGTGATGGATGAATAATTTGGTTTGTTTAGGCATTGTAATATTGTTCTTCTACAAGGGTAGGTCCAAAACTGATTGAGTGCTGCTCAAGGACAGTATTTCTGTTTAATTACTTTGTTTATGAAGTAGGAAAGTGTCTGTAGTGTCTGTGTCACCAAAGTTTATGTTTTCCATAATTTCTTTTTTTTTTACACATTTTATTCAGTGATTCATCTTTTCTTGAATGGTGCTTATCGATCTGACCTGTAAGTTAACAAAGATTCATTTTGGCATAGCGTAGAGATCCATTTATAAATGAAATTATTTCATGGTACTTATGTAGAAAGCTTTTTGAAGTACAGGAAGATTGCCAACATGGAAAAAAGTATTAGAAATGGAGAAGTATGTTATGATAAATATAGCACTCATAGGTAGGGTTAAAGGCTGTGATATTGCTGTGTGCATTCAGATTTATTTACTGCACAGAAATGAATCCCAAATGGCTATTTTTGCTTCACTGACTGTAATCCCAGCAAGGCAGCCTTACAGACATCTGCTAAGGGTTTTTTATTATTATTTGGTTAAGATTTTGAGATTGAGGTGAGAAAAATCCAACTGTCACCTAGAAATGACCTCGAGGGGGTTTCACAGATTTGTCCAACATGTTTTTCACAGATTTCTACAGGCTTATATATATTCCTTGCTCCAAAGTACTTCAGTCTGTGGCTACTCACATTTTCTAAAAAATAGTGGACTGCTATATGTGGTGTGCTGTTTAACCTTTACTCAGTCAAGCTTTTTTTTTTTTTTTTTTTTTTTTTTCAGGAGAAAGACCAAGCAAGGGCCAAATTGCCCCACATTTTTCTTCAGTAGGCATTGAAGGATATATTAGTTAATCCACTGTTATGTCTGCAAGTAATTCCTTATGCTAAGTAGCCCCTCACATTCATAGCATTGGACTCACTCTCAGTACATTAATAACTGTCATGAGATTTTGGGATATAGGAGAACAATTATTTCCCAGTGGGCTTCTTATCTAAACAAGATCAAGACATTGTATCCTTATTTAGCCCATATACTGATGTAGTCTATCTGTGAATTGTCTGTGTTGGGCTGCTTCTCAGGAGAAGGAGGAAGGAGCGTACATACCAGATAGCGCTTCCAGTCGTGCTGCTGTTGTGCCACACAGTTATCTGACAGTAATAACATGAAGCAGAAACATTTAGGTTCTCCTTTCTTTTTCATTTAAGTAAATGCATGCTGATAAAATTCTAATGAAAAGGAATCAGAGAACAGGAGCAAGTGACTTATTATGGAAATTTTCTGTGATGCATTGTAATGTTGGATTTTCAATTTTTAAAAGTGGTTACATTCCTAATTGGTGAACGAAAAGGACCAATTTATCCCTTGCTGTGAGAAACATTTTTCTTATATAGTGTTCTCATGAAGCCTCTAATTCAGCCGAACACATTATGTAAATGGAACCTATGAAATACCACCTAAAATATACATCAGATTTACATTACTAGACTGTTATGTTAGACTGAGCAAGGGCCCTTGTTACACTATATGGCAGATTTTTTTTACTTTCATAATACTCATTTCTGAAATAAACTGCGTCTGGCTCAAGCAAGGCTTCTATTAGTAACTGTTGGAGTTATCCTAAATGAGTATTTACTAGCTTTATCTTGGCATTATGAAGATAATGTTACATCTTTGTCTTTACTGATCTCAGGAACAAAACTTTTTTATATCTTTTAAACTAGAAGTGCTTTCTATTGATACAGAATCTGCAAATGTTGGAATGCAGGGGCTGTTCCAATGCCAAGTGAATTTGGATAAATCTGCATTGCATACAGATTGAATTTCTCAAAGCCTTATGACACAGATACTGTAGGCTGCAAAATTAGCGGACAGTGTAATAGCTGTGAAAGGTGAGCTTGTGTTTTGTGACAGTCAGAACCCAGATACGTCTAGTTTGTATACATCCCTCACAAGTCTGATACTGTTAAAAGATTGCACATTTTAAGATTGACGTTCCTAAAATTGCGGTTTAAATGTGTACATATATGGCTGTGCCCCTTCTGGACAATATAGTTTGATTTGAAACAGTTTTAATTTATTAGAAGCAAAATTGTTTATCACAAAATAATTTACATTGGTAACTGATTGTAGCAGTTCATTTGCATAATGAAGTGCCATTAGTCTTGGTTTCATGCAAGTTTAGGTGGAAGTGTTAATAACACCATTTTCATTTCTGGCCTGTTTTTTTAAGATACTCGACTCTTGATGGCTTTCTCTTGTGGATCTCTCCTCACACATAAGCTATATTTTGTCTTTGAAATGAAGGTCAGAGAAGTGTGAATTTAGATTTAGGGAGCTTCCCATGAAACTAAAAAAAAAAACCAAAACAAAAAAACTCAGATACTGCAGCAATGAAAATGAGCAATTAACCCTAAAAGAGAGATATCCAATAAAGCTATAGACAAATTTGATTGTATCTGCATTTCAGAAATAAATCTTTGGGGTGTTTTTCTTAAGGTTACATTTGACTGGCGAGCCATGGGGACTTTTATGCTATAGGGATAAGATAACTGCTCCTCCTGCTCTCTGTAATGATTTTGGGACCATCCAGAGCTAAGATGATACATATCAGCTTCTCATTTTGCCTTATAGCTGTCTTTTTAAAATTATTATTTGTTACATTCGGAACAGCAAGTGGGCAACTAACAAGGATTAGTAATGGGGAGGTTTTATTTAATTCAGTGTTTAAGCTGCTTTATTCAACAAAATCCTTAAAACACAGAGATTATATTTTTGGAGATATCAACACACTGCCATGAATTCTATAGTATGTGCAACTCTAAAGCGTATTTTCATGGAAGATTAAATGCTTATATACAGTATCTGAAATTATTATTGATTACATTTTGCAGTTGTATTCCCACATTAAGAACTTGGTGATACACTGTTCCGGTGGGTTTTCAAAGCATTGTCTATCAGGATTTATAGAAGCTATAGCAGTATTGCTAACTCTAATGATTTTATCACAAGTCCTGCTGTATTTGATGTTGTATTTTGATACTTGTCTGCCAGATTACAGTGAATATGTGAGAAAATAATTTTCATTCTTCCTAGTTACTAAAAAAAAATTAACATTTAACCCATTTCCACCTGTGTTTACCCTCAGACAAATAAAAGGAGTAACGTAGTTCAACGTTTGAATGGGAATCTCACTGTTCTTATCAGTTTAACATAGCTCTGGTTTTCCAATTTTGATACTTGGGGTTGGTGATACTCACCAAGGAGAAGAGATAAGCAAGCAATATTGTGTAACACTTAGTACATAACTTTATGAAAGGGGTCATAGTTATATTGGAATTGACACTTAAGGTATGTTCATCAGGAGTTACCAGAAGTTATATTAGAGCAAGCCCAATCACTGTGTCCCTGCACATGTGTATGTATGTAATGTATGTATGTATGTATGTATGTATTACATGTGTATGTAATATTTCCTATATGACTCTTTTTTTCTCTCACCTCCAGCGTGCTGGTCTTGAGCAGGATTTTGGGAGCCACTGCCCCTCCTTGCTGTGGCCAGCACTGGAGGATTTCTGAGTGCAGGCCAGCTCAGGAGTAAAACTGTTTGTCCTCACTTATTCCAAGTGTTTCTTCTCTGCGTCTCTACATGCAGTATCCTGTCAAGCTTGGGATATCCATATTTAGTTGTCTCCATGTAGGTGCCCGCATGTGTGGCAGGTGTCTGAGCTCCAGTAATGGTTTGTGGAGATTTAGTCCATACAGACAGTGGAGCCAAGCAGGTGATTCCACTTGCCCTAATGCAGAGACCTGGAGGCAGATCAGCTCCAGGCTCCACTGAGTATGTTGACTATAATGGGAATTTCTTGCTTAGCATGCAGGTAGTTATTTATGTATATTATGTATAAACTGCTGTTTAGGTGTCTTGTTCCCAAATTGAATCCCATACCTTTGGCCAGAAGCTGAATTATTTTTCTCATTATTACTAAGGGAGTTCCCTCTCTGCAGAGTTCCAGTGGTTGCCTTGAGAGGCTGAAGGCACAGGGTGATCTTCACAAAGTCCTATTTATCTTTCCTAGCTGGTCACATTTCTGTTTAATCCTACCTACCATCATTTGATGTTTTACCATATACGATCTTACCTCACCTCATACGAAGGATATCTCTTACTAAAGCACTTTTCTTGCTTTAGGTTCCACTTTTCAGTAAAGTTTCAGCTTTCAGTGAAAACATTTCATTTTCCTCACATCTGATTCATGTTAAAAACCGTCTCTTAAAAAGTGCTGCAATATGCCAGGTTAAATACTGTTTTTATGAACGTAATAATCTCGTGTACTACTAATGAAAAATTATTATAGAATTAGAAGTTTGAAGCAGAGTTTTTTGTGGAGTTCAGTGCAGTCCTTGTTCACGATTTTCACTGTTTTGTTTTTAACAGGAGTCCTGTGCTTGTGTTCCAGTGCGTGCATCGCCATGTCATTTGCCTAGACTGCTTCCATTTGTACTGTGTGACTATGCTGAATGACCGTCAGTTCATCCATGACCCGCAGCTTGGCTATTCCCTCCCTTGTGTAGGTATGTTTTAGCTGATTTTATTTATTTATTTATATGACTTTGATTTCAGGCCAAGGGTTTTTTTAGCACCTCTTAGTTTTGAGTATATCTGTAGAATTATGCTGGTTTGGTAGGAGTTGCTTCATTTCATGGAAAAAAATATTTGAATATTGAAGTGGTTCTTGCTGAGCATGTGAACTGGAGAATTAACTGGATTCCAATGGGCATTTCTTTTAAAAGCAAATGCATCCTTTCTTCACATTAGTATTTTATAATCCTGAAGTACTAGCAGATGATAGCATTACACTCTGGTTAAAAAAAAACACCACCCTGACCTCCACATTTCCACTTTCAAATTAAGTACATTGTTAGCTTTCTTGGCCTGTCATCAAGTACTAATAGAAAAAAAGACTGCAATAGGAATTTCAAATAGCCTTCTTGTTGATGACGTTACTGCTACTAATTGACACCTCACTAAATGAAGCATAGATCACTCTAGTAAAATGGTAGATTATCTGTTTTACCTGAGTAGGAAACACAGTTTGACTTAACTAAACAAAGGCTTACACTGCATCTGGAAGGTGTGTTTTGAGAATTGATTTAATTTACACTGGCACATGGTCTGCAAAATTCTAAAAAAAATTGCTCTGAAGAAATATATTAGAATTTATTTTTCCCATCGCTAAATTTGCATATGTGCATATATATTTGTCACAAGTGCTGTATAGTGGTATGAGAATAATTTTTCAGCATATTAGAAGTGGCATAAAAGATGCACTAGGTAGGAGAAAAGCTGACAAAGTATCTTGTGAGGGTAACATTTACTTAATGTGAGGACATGCCTTGAGGATATTGAAAGTACAGCTTTAAGAACCTTTTAAAATTATTTCTTTTTAATTACTTCAGGAACAATCTAGCAGTGGTCATTTGTTCACATTTCAGTAGAATTGCTGTTTATGTACTCTCTTGCCAGGGCTCATTTTACTTCCCCTCCAACAGTTTGCTTTACTACTGCATTTATACACTGACGTCATACTTAAAAAACACTTCATGTTGTGTAAGAAATCTTCTCATAAGGAACCTAGCAAGAACTTTATATGCAGTGCTTTTTCCTTGACCTTAACATTACTGTAGTACTGTGGTCAGCCTGTATTTTTCGCCTCCCTCCTTCTCCAGAAGTTAATCCATTTTCTGCTCCCACACAAATTAATCAGCTACTTGAGATTAATCCATCCTTTTTTCCCCCTTGTTTATCAGCTCTCTTCCCAGTTTTCCTGTTAGCTCCTTAGGTTAATCAGTTATCCCAGTGGTTCAGCAGGCAACTCATCTTTCTTCTCTCTTGTGGGCCTCCTTGCAGCCATGGCTAGTGTCACAGAGCTTCTTCCAGTTCAGGCTGTTACGTTAAATTAATGGCCCTTCCACTTCTGTCTGTAAATCCATTGCTAGTCATGCTGCGCAAAACATGTATTAGGATTTTTCCATATAGTTTGTAACTCTAGTTGTTCAGTTCAGAAGTTTTATCTATCTTTTTTTTTCTCAGAGAGGGGACTAAGAAGTTTGCAGAAGTTTTTACCCCTGTAAAATAGCAAGCCAGTCTTTTCTCTCTTCTATGTGCTGAACACTATCGGAATTGAGAGGCAGAAGCAGAGTAGGGATGTGATGAACAGAAAATGCAAGGAGACAGAGCTGAAATGCTTGGGGTTGTGATTTCAGTCCGGAAGGCATAGGCTTGGCCTAAGAAAGGGATACCATAAAGGATGCACAAAGGATAACTGTACTTGTACTGTTCAAGTGAGATAGGGTTCAGCTGTGGGAATGAAAAAGCAGCTATTGCTGCCAGTCTAGCCTCAGCTGTGTTATACTTTAAGTGTTAAAATAGCTAAATATGGAAATGCTAAAATACTGCTAATCTTAAAATTTCAGAAATTGCCAAATCAGAAAGTTGTTTTTAAAATACTGTGTATTAAAGTAGTACTAACAGTGGTAATAGTAATAATAATACAGTTGCAATACATTTTCTCTCTGTTCTCCAGATAGTGAGAATGTTTCTTGGAAAAATTTCTGCAGAGGTGCTGCCCTGTGCCAACAGAGTGCATAGTTTAGGCGTGCCACAGTGCAGTGCTGTGTAGTGCTGCGCAGTACAGCACTTCTTGAGCTAGAGCCAAATCAAGATGCTGAAGGGAAGTATAGCTGTGTCAGTACAGCTCATAGGACAGGTTCTTTGACACTTCTGGTAGGCCTATTAGAACTGACGACGCAAATACTGCTTCATGACCTGTGCGAGTATCTCTGCACAGTGGTGTGTGGTGCTGTCTAGGCACACCTGCTTCTTCAGTGCTAACCTGATTATCTCTAAGAAGTATTGACATTATACTGTGTGGCATGCTTTGTGTTGGAGAGGTTCTCAGTCACAATCTCTGATTATTCAGCATTTTAAAATAATATTCCTTCTAAACCTAAAATTGATTGCTACCTCCATCAGTTCTCTTTGTGTAACCAGTTCTGTATCAATAAAAGATTTGTAAGCATTATCTTTGCAGGATAGAAGAATCTAATGAGTGCTGTTGTAACTTCTCTGGTCCCTTTCTACAGCTGAACCTGGCTTTCTGGTATGCAAGAAAATTGTTTGTTTCTAGAATTAGGTTATATTTGAGTTATGAACTGATGACTATTTTTTGTCCTTTGAGAAAGTCATGAGGCCGAGTTACATCACATCTGTGAAAAAGAGGAATGTCCAAGTTGCCAAGCAATTCTCTCTTTCTGTTCATCTACAAAGGATTTTATCCCCCTTCACAGCTATGGATCCAGCAGCTTTAATCAGCAATGAATTCAATTAATAGACATTGAGAAGAGTATCATGTGATTTTCTTTTCCGCTTACCATGGCACTCCTACTGAATAGTTTAAGGTTGCATTTTTGCAATTCATAGCTAACAATCCCTTTTTGTAACTGCAATTTGCAGTTTGTATTTACATGTGAGGATGGTGAAGCACTGTTTGACACAATTTTCTCTTGATTACCTCAGTGAAGGCTAAAAGGAATTCCCCTTGGCAGGAATGAATACCATGGGACATGGCAAGAAAAGACATTTCTTTCTTACTGTGGCAGTGTTGGTTTAGTACATGTTATCTATAACAGAGCATGAGTCAAAGCAAGAGATAGTCAATCTGAGCTTTATTGAAAGGTTAGATGTTGATTTGAGCCTGCTTCTATAAGGAATGCAAAATAAATTTGTATTTAGTGTAATGAGATTTATGCTACGGTAGATGACCAGGTGGCACAGACAGATCAAACCAGTCTGTAATAATACATGTATTTTTAAACATCACAGACTAACTCTGAAGTAGTTTTAATGATGTCTTCAACATAAACTATTAATGTTCTGAATTTGGACTTTGTAAAAATTATTTCACTTTTCCATTTTTATTTAAGAATGGATTTACTTAAAAACTAGCCCATTTCTTCAAGGCATATGTGCACACATTGCCCTAGAACTGTACAGGAGAGTTTGGTTTTGTAATTAAGCCTATTTAAATTGTTTGCACTTCCAATTAGTTCTGTTCATTCTAGTGTTTTTCAAAACCAGAGATAACATAATGAACATAGCCTGCAGTTTCCATTAACATTTGACTCACTGTTCCTGATTTTTATCAAGGGAATGTACCAACATAGCAAGTTTTTTATATCTTTTATTGGATCAATCTAGAGGTGAAAGCATCGCACACACAACAGATTAAAATAAACAGCAGCTGCTACAGCAAAGGGTCACTGTGACAGACGAGATCAGTGTTATCACATGTGTATGCTAACTTGAGCTGGAAAAGATCTAGGGATTTCAGATAAACAGTGCTTCTCAAATAGGTTTAATTTCTTGCTTCCTGGCACAGATATACCAAAAGATGCATTTTGTCATTGTGTTCAGGTATTTTGTGTGTTTATATCCTTGCTTATCTTTGATTTCTGCTATGTGGCCTAATTAAGCAGGAGATAATACATGTTCAGAAGGCGGCTGTCATCTCAGCTGATGAGTTATGATATAACACCTTGATAATGCCATATCTTCACTTTGTTCCAACACAAAATGTGTCATTGCTGTGATTTTTGAAGAACTCCATTAATTCCTAATTCCTTAGCTGCTAATCTAGTGCCAGGCAGCACTACTCCAGCTGAGGACAGCCAGTGTTGAGGACCAGAGCTCTGAGCACGGTAACTGGTGCATTGATAGGATTAGCTGTTCAGAGTAGTGTGGCAGCAGCCCAGTGATTCAAACCCACTGTATGAGCTCAGAGCAAGGACTTACAGATAGGAGCTGGCTGGATGTCATTGGTCATTAAAATAAAAAAGTAAACGTTACCAATTATACTCTCTCTGCCCTTGTTAAATGGCAACAAAAATCTATCCCATCTCTCTGTATGGTGTCTTGTATTAATGAGGCTTCATGCATAGAAATTTCCATGAGTGGTGACCTCCAAGTATCTTTGAAATAATTAATAAGGTGCTTAGAGGGATAGATTTGCATATGCATGAAAGATCATTTATGGTTATTTAGTTACTGTACAGGGCAAAGAATCTCATAGCATTACCTCAAAGCAGGAACTGTATACAAATGTAAAATATATTACCCGATTTAAACACATACTCTTCCTATGAATACCGTTTCACTTTTAAAATAGCGCTACAGCAGTATGGGTCTTAGTCCCCAGTGTGTTATAAACTTCCACAGATCTTTGGTAGAAGAAAACTTGGTAAGGCCAAGGATAGGCAAGGTTTTACACTGCTGTAGGCACTTTGAAAAAAAAATCTTTGCTTCAGTTTATTTCTTATGAGTAATCATATGCATAATGTATTTTAAAGGAATCCAGATATAAGATGCAGTTTTTCTGATGACCGTAAAACATTATTGTATCTGGAAGTAATCTGATTTTACCACACAGATATACATATAAGTAAGTAAGTGAAATTACCACAAGTTTGTGCATGGAACTGCTAATAAGAAGGGCTAAAGCTTTAAAGTATAATAA